TGTAATTGCTATCAGAGTAGTCTTTTCTGCTTTTAACTGGGAAGAATATATTTGCTTTTTTAACCAAGGATTTATCCCAGTAAATCAAAACATTTTCTTTCACAAATTAAACAGTATCAATCCAGCAGAACTGGATGCTTCCAGCCTTCAGGTGAAGGAAAGCAGTGGCTATTCATCCTTGTCAAAAACTCCAACCATTACTTCTGTAGTACTTTAGCACTTTGAATCTATGATTCAACTATCAAAACATGATTTCTGAATTAAACAACATTGGTTTTACAAGCAGAAACTGCCTGAACATTATATGAAGCCTTTTGAGCAGACTGTATCATGTATTCATTTTGTTTGTTGTTGGATAAAGCTTTAGAGTGTATGGCTTTTCATAGGCAGGGCTTATTTCATGTGCAAGAGTGTTACCACCTTCTGGTCTCATGCACCTGAACCAGACAAGGTTGAGATTCTTAATTAATCTCAATTAATTAAATTAATTTAATTTATTAAATTGCGGGGGAGGGGGGAAATCCTTCACCCCAAACTTTCCAGTCCTTGTTACATCTATTGCAGTTGTATTAACTTCAGCTAGCAATAAATGGGATGTAAATAGTGAAGACAGGCCAGCTGCAGTGAAGCCTGTATCTGCCATATAAAGGAAAAAACGTAAAAAAAACCCTCCACCAAAACCAACAGCGTGAAGCAGCAGTACTCAGTTGTAAACTACACTGCCAAGAATATCTGCTTTTAAAGTTTGTTCCATGCTTAGCTTGTCTTTCTTGCTATTTGACTTACAGTTGCCCCTTTCTCCGCCTTTTCACTTCCTGAGAAAGGAAAACTTTACACTCTGACCAGCAGCAAGGGTTTAGCTTCAGTGCCTCTTAGCCGAGGCTGTTCTCAGTTTCACTCGTCCCATTTTTGACATTGACTAATCAAACAACAGAGAGAGAGGATACAAGGCCAAACTCATCTGCCTTCCAGAGAAAAAGGGGAGAACTAAATGGTGAAAAAGCAAGTCCCAGTATAGTAACAGCAAAATCCTCATAATCTGTGTTGCTGCCAGCAAGCTGTAGCCCTGAAGCAGCAGAACAGGAGGATGCTTGTTTAGGTCTCTGAGAGGCTCCCTTCCGTTCTTTACTGGAGCTTACACGCCATCTGCGGGAGCTATGTAACACTGCACCTCAGGCAGAGAAGGGAGTTAGGGAAGAAACGTACCTGCCAGCTTAGTTTTGCCAAGAGCAGCATGCAGCTGAATAGCAGCAAATTGAAAAATCTGGGCTATACATAAAACTTATGGGTTAGAGGGACAGGGATGTTGTTTTCTGGCACAGACATTACAAATGCTTAATAGACCTTTTTGGTGTTCTTATGCTTCAGCTTTGGTTTAAAAACATCAGTCTGATGCACTGCACAGGCTGTAGTGGATGAACCAGTGGCCTGCTGCAGCCTTGAATTTGTTCTGAACCTAGCAGCATCTGTCTGTGCTCTCTTAATACTTTAAGAGATGGATGCTGTCTCAAGGCTAGAATCATGCCTGAACTCCCTCAGGTCTGTTTCTGTTCCTGTTAAAGTGTGGGTGTAGATGAGGGAACACTAGAATTGCTGCTCCATGGCCTCAACAACAGCCCACCCAGTTACTTAACAGTGTTTAATCTCTTTGGAGATTTGATCTCTTCCCCCATGTATGCAAGACAAATAGATATATCATGCATATTTATTGGTACAAGCCTAAAGAAGGCCTAAAAAAACCCTGAAAGGTTCTCAGAAAAATTTATTCCATAAATTAAAAACACACACAAAAGAAACAGTAAAATTTTAGATTCACACAATATTGAACAGAAACAAAATGCCAAGAGCATGATGGAGGCTAATGGCACAAGTGTACAAGTTCTCATTGAGCTATTTGTTAACTTGATAGCATCATACAGACTTTTAATCCACAGTTACCATCCATATTCTAGAAGAGCACCTGGAACATAATATACCAAAGGCCCACCTCAAATCAAATACAATAAATGAGAACTGCTTGCAGAAAATCATATCCAGCAAGCATCAGAACTCGAATGTATGCAGCCACAAGGCTAGCCAGGCAAATGATGCAACATGCACTAAGTAGCCTCAGCTGCTTCAGTTGTAGCATGATGAAAATAAGGTGATTTATTTTTTGTGAAAAGTGATCTTTCTACCTCCCATAACTGGCACATTTAGCAAAGAGCTGCCTGGCTCTGCAAAATCTATTAAGAGACAGGACATGGCAAAGCTTTGCAATTCTCAAGCTGCTTTAGTCATCGTTCTGTGAGCAACACACACAGTGTCTTTCCATGATAATACAAAAAAAAAGAAATCCTCACTGGAGTAGGTCCACCTTATGGAAAGGCAAGTGTACATATCCTCCAGCGAGGGATGTATGCAGGACCCCAGAAGATGCACCCTCTATACTTGTTTCTTTCAATTGTCTGGGACAGAAGCAGCTCAGAGTGGCAAATACCTCGCTTTTGCACAGCCATCACTCCCAGTGTACAAGCAGCAGCCACAAACAAGGCTGTTCCACAAATACTGTAAACAGGAATAGAGGTGGAAAAGGAAGAAAGAAAAAGTGCACAAGCATCTGTATGCTGGAGGGGCAGAAGAGATGCTTTGTCTAAATGAACTTACATCTTTATCATCATACAAATACTAAACCAAAAAGAATAATGCTGTATATTTGGGTTGCCACAAACTAAGGTCTGGGACACGCTAGGCAACTGCAACATCATTTTGTAACTCCAATTATTGTAAACAAAAGAGAATTGAGTGCTTCCATTGCTCTGCTCTCTCCGGTGTAGCTGTTAAAAAGAAAGCTAAGAAATTACATTTCAAAGCAATCAGAAACAAGACAGAGCAGAGAAACAAACCAAAAAACAACACCCTCCCCCAGAAAAAACCCAAGAAACCCCACAACCCAAAGGAAAAAACACATTCCATGACCTGAAGCACATTAGAGGTCTGAACTTTGCCTGGACCCAAATTTCCTCCCTCCCCACCCATACCCTTTTTCCTTTAAAGCCCCAATAAGGTTCAGCTCAATTGTTTCACAGCACTAGAAGTCTCCCACATAAATGGAATATGAATGAATGCTGTGTAACAATCCCGTTCTATAGCATAAAACCATAAAAATATATATCTCACTCTTGCAACAGCTTTCAACCAGTCAATAACTGGGCTAATAAACCAGTAGAGGGAAAGTTTCAAACACTTTTTACAAGGCAGCCAACCTTTTGGTTTTTAGAGATTTCTTTTTACAAAAATAAAGAGGATCAAAGTGTTGTACAGCAGCCCCAATAGGTTAACCAGACCCTGCTGCTGCAATTGTATGCCACTATGTTCAACGTTTGCCTGCCCTGTTATTTTACCCTCAAGACTCAAACACCACTCCCTGAAGCATGTGCTTTTCTCTACGGTCTTCCTGATTCAAGACAACTGGCCTCCAAAACAAGAATGTAAACTCCTAGGAACCCAGCACATAAGCTGGGAGGAAAACAAGCCCAGGTTACATTTCTTTAGAGACTCGGGCACACATATTGTAATAATCCTCTTCCATTTCTCCACTTCCAAAGCTCTGGAATTCAACACGTAACTTGTTAATTTCTAGTTTTCTGTTCAGTCAGTAACAGACGTGGCAGAGCAACATAAGATAATAATGGTACTCTCAGTCCTGCATTTATTTGGACTTCACTAAAAATACCCACCCACTAGATACTTGCTTATTTTGAAGGCAAATAGAAACTCTGTTCTATGGGTAGGAAAATAAGAAAGTGCAAGTTTCAAGTGAGAGAATGGACAGACTAATTAAATTTGAGCATCCCAGCAATGACAGCTTTGCCTGAATAACTTCTATAGGCACTAAAGGACAGAAATTACCTGAACTGCAGCTAGCATTCATTTTGAATTATGCTTCAAGTACGTTTAACAGAAGTTATCCCAGAGGTGAGCTCCCTTCCCTCAAATGGTATAGCTGAGAAATCGCCCAGTGCTGCATCAGTAATTAAAAATGGCCTTACATAATGAAACAGAGAAAATTCCACATGCCAGCAGGCTCTTTGTACAACAATAGCTATTATGTACAACTGTGTGTACATATTTAATTATGAGTTACATGAATTGTAAATCTAAAATAATAGAAAAACCCCTCAAGATAGAAAAAAAAAAATTTTTTTCTCGGTGGCATTAAAATCAAGTTGGTATTTTTAATGGAATTAAAATCACTTAAAAAATGAGCCTCAGATTTTATGGTGTTCCCTGCATGCAGCAGCTCAGCTCAGTTAATAAAAATCTTTACTTATGTATCCTGCAGCTTAACATCCTCATGGGCTAATTACCTTTTCCTCTGGAGGAGAGGTTGGCATCAACCAAGTAGGTAACAACTCTAATATTAGGGAAAAATTAGTAGTGGGCACATTTCTTTTCTTACAATATTACCTTTTTTTTGAGCTCATGTTAAAATTTGTCCCCATGCAGCAAATAGAGAAACAAATACAAAGTGCAAGTTATTTGAAGCCTAGTTATGTGGGGCTTCTGCTGCCTGAAGCCAGGAAGGGCACAGAAACTCAGAAGGAACCTTCTAAGTAAACAGAAGGAATAAACAATTGAAAGTGAACCCAGACAGCTACTTTTAATTATTAAAAAGTTAGTGGTATATCAAGAATGTGTTTGCTAGAATTTATCTTCATCAAATACCATAGCTCTTCTGTCAGGTTGTTCAAAACAGCCATTACAGTAACAACAGCAGACTCAAATGTGCAAATGATCTGAAGTTCAGAGTTCTAGCATCACTGAAGGTGCACTACTTCTCCTTTACACTCCTACTCCACCCCCAAAAGGTATTTAAATGTAATTAAACATTAGAGTAATTTCCAGGGGCTGGGGAAGGAATGGTAAATTGGATGTGGCTGTGTTACACTCAAACAGGGACCTAAAAGAATCCCTCCAATAGCATTTAAAAAAAAAAATAATTTAAGAAAAAACAAAATAGCACCTTAAAGAGGGCCACAGCCAAAACCAGCTCATCAGATATTAGAGCAGAGTGGCAGAGTAACGTATGAAGAAGTCAGTAGGTTTCTCCCAAAAGGACTAAAATACTAAACAAGCTGACTGGACCATTTTCAGCTAAATGGCTCCCTCAGAGGCCTGCTCTTGCTCAGCCTCGTTTGCAAAGAAGGCGTCAAGGTCCATTAGCTTCTGACTCAGAAGAGCATCTAACTCTGCACTCTGGAGTGCAGCTTTTTTTGCCCGGGTGAAACTACCCACTGCTTTGATTTTGCCTCGTCTCTTCCTTTTCCGAGGAAGAGTAAAGTCCTGAAACTCCAGAATCCGCTTCCTCTTCTGCTGGCTGACAGCGATCAAGCATCCATTTTTCTCCTTGGGCTCTTCAAAGATTGTTTCCAAGCTCCTGATAAAAGCAAAGAATAGAACCCATGAATACTCAAGAAGCAGGTAACCACCACCTTACCAGGACAGGGAGACCAGTGGATTTCATAACCCAAGTAAACACACTTCTAACTTTTACATTCTTACACCTCCTCCATACCTCTTGTAATGTGTACTTACCTACAGTACACCTCCTGCAACTGCACATTACTGCTAGCTAAATAATCTGCTATTTGTGCACAGATTGAGTTGATTTCAGTCCAAAAGCACAATTATAGAAACAGTAGAAGATAATATTTTTGAACTTCCCCTACCACTTTAAATTAGAGCAATTTAAAAAGATTTATCTCCCTTTTAGCTTTCAAACATCTTTAATATCTCTCTCTCTGCCTAAGTAATGCACATTTATCTTGGTTTTCTCATTAGGAAGCAGAACCAACCTGGCTGGAGGAGGGGACTTGTAGTTCTTGTTTGTGTAAATTTCTTCTAAACTAAATTCTTTCTTCTTAAGCCTGAAAAAGTAACAAACAAATCAATCAAGGAAGAAGAATTTCAAAACTACCTTTCTTCACAACCAGCAGGTTTACAAGAGCCAATATAAGTCTGTTTAAAAGACACTGCTCACCTTTTTGGTTTGGGTAGTCCCATTGGAGTAAGGTTAGGGTCTGGCTTAGGAACAGTTTTCCTGATTGGGATTTGTGAGACTTTCTTTGGCCTCTTTTCTGGCTCAGTCTTATGAAAAAAAAAAAAAAAAAAAAAAGGGGGGGGGACAAAGACAGGGAGGAAAAAAAAATTAAATGAAGGAAATAATGACCACACTAGTCAATAGAATTTCCTTTTGAGTGTACATTATCTCTAGAATAATCATTCCTTTTGGTTTTGCCACCTTCTTTCTGCTTGAATAAAAGGAAGAAGCATCACAGACCAGGAGTAGCAGCCTGTTCTCTCTCCTCAACTTCAACAGTTATAAGACAATATGCTACTAGCAACAGCTTCAAGTTCTGGGGAACCAAGAGCCTGCGACATCTAAAATGAACTCACTTTTTCCAGTTCTTTGTCATCCTGGGATCTAAGACAGGCTGGAACAGAAATATCACCTTCATCAAGGGCGTGGGCCTGGAGTCCAGATGCTGAAAGCCTGGGGAGAGATGGCGATGATTCCAGACGTGAGCAAGGCTTTGGTAACAGAAGAGGGAATGAAGTTTCCAGACTGTAACAGAGAAAGAAGGGAACATATTAGATTAATACCCAATTTATCCTACAACAGCATTTCATGCTCTCAGGTGATGTTCCTAAATTGCAACATGGGCACAAAAAGCAATGCCGTTACAGAAATTGCCCAAGTGAGTGAACTTTCTCAGTACAGTTAAAAGTTTACAGCTCTGTTTAGTAACTACTGATAGCAGAAAGTGATTAATCCTCCTTTTCTGCCAGCAAACCTTTGACACAACTATTAATTATACTTTTTGTTTACAGATAAATATAAAAGCTTTATCTCTGCCATCCCAAAGCTGAAAAAAAAATAGAAGGAACTTTCAGCACCTAACGTCCAGTCAGTCAGACAGAAAGAGCAGGAATCCAAGTAAGGAAACAAACTTCTCTAGTATCAGATATTCATTTAATAAGAAGTGGTACAACATAGTTGAAAGCAACAGAATGCAATGAGCTACATGGTGTTTTCATTAATGCCCCTCCACACTTCTCCATTACATGATCCGGTCAGTTTACTTCACTAACTTTTTAATCAGAAAGCTATTCTTGGAATAAGCTGCCAAAGCTGAAAGCCAAACTGACACAAGCAATGTCTTTCTGAGAAAGTTTTTGATCCTACTACTCAGAATAAACATTGAAGTTCAAGAGACTCACCACATCTCATGACCTTCAGCCTGTAGTGCTTTCATACTCTGTATAGGTAAGTGCGGTGTGATGGCATAGCTGGTTCCAAAGAAGAATGAACAAAACAAAACAAAACAGACAGAAATTAGGTCTACACTATAAAATAGTCAAGGGGAAGATTGTTAGTCTAAACTGGACTGGAAGACAAAAAATGCTAACATCAGGAATGGGAATGAAAGACTAAAACAATGCAAGAACAAGCCACATCTGCCATGTAGTCCACTAAATTTCACTGACAGCTTGTGAGGGAAATAGTCCTACTTTCACTTAAAAATGTTACTGATGAGAAAAGGAAATAAAAGTACAGAAAGAGGGAGACAGTATTAGTCCGGAACTTGAAATTGTTTCTATGAAAGTCTATATTTCTAATTCAAACCCCCCAGGTTTGAAAATTAAAGTAACCAAAAACCTTGAAGGATTTGGCTACTGAATTAAAAAAACAAAGTGCATAGTAGCAACAGTAACAAGAGAAAGGAAGGATTTCCATCAGATTAACTCCCTGTTGTCTCTAACTCCCACAGTCTTACTTGAATATACTTAGCTGACTGGAATAACCAAAGGCCTTTCAAGGGTTGGTAATTACCATAACTCTATGGCATAAAAGTCAGCACAGCAGCTCTAAGTCCTTCAATATTAAGCTTTATTTTTGTGCCCATACTATTAATAGCAGGGGGAAAAAATCAGCTGGGACAGCTTTTAAGTTAAACAGCAAATCTTGTACTTGCTGTTCTCCCAAACTAAAAGCTAAATGTATGTCACAGTTCTAAGGCAAAAAAGTTACAGCCAGACTGCAATGCTACAGATAAATGAAAACCAACAATGCTGGCAGCGCAGGTAAGTCCAAATATAAGGAGGTCAGAAAGACCCATGTCTTGTGTTTGTCATTTAATATCACAACTATAACATTTTGTTTTTCTCCATGTTCCACTTGCTATCCCAGCACCTGGAACCTGTACCAGTAGTGCATCAGACTGTCAATGCTAGAGGCAGAGCTTACTGATTTATGCAATTACAGGGGGAGGAAAAAAAGACACTTTAGAAATTTTGAATCCAAATGAGCACCAATTAGAAAAAGTATTTCACTTAAAGAATGCTTTTACTGGAGGTAGAAGTGACAGAAGATTCATAGGCAGGAGAAATACTCCAGTTCCTTGTTTTCCTGTTATTAAAACCACTAACTATGAATGAAATAATTTAAAGAGGACAAATCTCTTCCAGGAAAAAAAATGGCCTGTAGACAGCTGGGAACCACTTGCCAATTTTTCTGGTTTTTAAATATCTTAATTTAAAAAGGCAAAGATTTTTGTCATACTGGGAGCTGAAAATGCTTTTACACTACACCAAACATACATCCCGTATTCCTGTATTTACACACCAAACATCAATTTCATAGGAGACTTTTTTTTGACTACACACAAATTTAAGATAGATTCCTGAATTATCCTGTTGTCACTGTTCCTGCTAATGGCTTTCTAAAAAGAAGATTTATTAGTTCATGAGAAAGCTTGTCAATCTCCAGCAAATGGTGTCTAAAATTGTGTTAAATATTTAAAATGTTAGGTTTTGTTCTTTATGTTGCTTTATAGCAAAAACTTTAATATTAATTTTTGCTTAACTGTTTTAGGAATAGAATTTATTTGCTGCACTTTAAATTTCCACAAACCATCTTTTTTTGCTCACTGCATGCTACAATAACTTCACCTTAAAGGAAATCTGAGTGGGCAGAATTGAGGCGCTCTCATACATGCATTTGTAGGGTATGTTAGAGAAAAAAAAACCCAAAGTTAAAATAGTCTAAAACTCAGTTTGTTTTTCACTTGAAGTGATGAAGTTTGATTTGGCTTCTCTCCCTTTGGGATAAAGATAATTCATAGCAAAACATTCAATTTTCAAATTACCCTTTACGTCAAGGAATTAAATCCTCTTACGCTTCAGCTAACCTGGATATGCTGTAACAAGCTGCCTGGGAATCTGCGGACTTAAGTATAGGGGAAAACATGAGAGCGTAAGTCAGCTCTGATCTCCCAGTCCAAGGATAACATGCCTCAACAACACAAAGTAAGAAATTCACCTCAAATGCAGACGTAAGTTTTAGAAAGGGGTTTGTTTTGTTTTTAAAGAATGGCAATAATGTCTTATTTTTAAGTTTAGTGCTCAAACTGTAGTTTACTGGTATACTTCCAGAGTACTAATTTGTACACTACAACATTCAGCATAATATATTGACTCATATGGAATCAAGAAGAATGCAGGTCCAACAGAATGTGCTGTGAAGTTGTCTCTATGCCATTATTTAGCTCCATTCTTTTAGCGAAGACAACTCCCAGAGTGGAGCAGTACTTTTATAAGCTCACTCATACCCTTGGTAGGCATTAGAATTTATACTAAGTGATGTACTTAAACCTTTAGGTATGCTATCTATTTATACAAAGTGAAATAGAGCGTTAGTTTACCTGGTAAAATTTTTGGTTATACATCTGTCAAGCCACTGACATAAAATAAGCCAAATTCAACAGTTCTTTAGAGACTGCCATATTAAAGAAAACACTTAATCGAATGGACTTTTGTACAGTGCTGGTGAGCCTACACTCTGTCCAGGAAGCTCAAGACCATAAAATCAGGGACTGAGCTGCCCTGTGTCACTGAGGCATAAAAGGCAAAATCTTTGCTCAAGAGCATGCAAAAATCCTGTAGCAGAGCTAGGAACCTCTTCTCTCATTCTGTTTCTTAGTAAAAAGAATGCCAATGATAAAGTTAAATATGCTGAGTAGATCTCAGTCCTCTTCCCATTCATAACAAGAATGACGCACACACAAAAGTCATTACCAACCTGAAGTGGAGTTATGCTTGCTTGTGCCAACAATACATCAGGCACATACTATCAACAGGCACAGCATACATAAAGAGATTTCAGTTAGCATAGAAGTGTCATGGAATACAATTAAAAATTTAACTGAATCCCACCTCCCACCCCTCAGGATTCTTCCTAATCTGATATTAAGCATTTTTCAGTGGTTCCAAGTGACACTTGTGGCTCAGACCTCTGAAAAAAACTTTCCTACCTCAGAAATCCAGTTGTTCTGCAGTCATTCTGAATAGACCTAATGATAGCTCACCTTTCTGCATTATATATTCTGATGCATGGTGTGTATATTTTGCAAGGGAAAAGAAAATAGAGTTAGCCATTCTGCTGAAACAGGATATTGCTAAAGAAGCGAAGACAAATATACTTAAATTCAGTTAACAGACTGTTCCATATGGAAGAATCTTCCATGATGAGGCATTTTTGGAGCAGAATGTGTAAGTTTGCAACACGGGAAACTGACCCTTCACTGCAAGCTGCAGTTACCTTCTCCCTCCCAAAAAGGAGCAAGTACATACCTTGTACATATTTAATCTCAGAAATAAATTGATGGGGTTTACCTGTTTGTGATGCCCACACTTGGCTGCCACTTGCAGTCATTGGAATGGAGAGGAGTGATTTCGGAAGGCCAGGCAGAAGGACGATGCTGACTCCATATGGATAGTACCCTGCCCAGTGAGTATGGCAATGAAGAGACGCGGTCATCTGATACAGAAGGTGGATACCTTGCCCCTTTCAAACCCTGTGTGAACTGCGATATAAATAGTCTCTGGATGGTAGGAATATGACTAGTTAAGTTTCTTCTTCTCGTCCAAATCCTGTAGCATCCAGGGGAAGAAATTGCTAACACTGTGTGAAGGCCAGCCATGGAGCAACCGCCTCTTCTTTCAGCTATGGCATTTCTTCGCCGGTCACGATGAAGGACAACAGCCCCTGGGGTTGTTAGAGAGAGAGAGGAATGCAGTTCATTATTTGGACTGGAATCTTCTTTGAAAGCTGTTGTATCTGAACAGCTCTGAGACAGGAGAAAAGAGAAAGTCCACTGTGAAGGCGGTGCTGGCATTTCTCCCAAAACTGGTCCATGATGTACAGAGTGCTGGGATGTCATCCCTGTGAGGTCTGTCACAGGACTAGAGTCCAATTTTATGTGAAAAGAAATTGGGAAAACTGTGGTATCCAAGAAAGAGGTTGGAGGCTTGTGGCTCAAGTCTGAAAAAAGTATTTTGGTAGATTCTACAGGATAAAGTGCCAAAGGCTGAAAGCTAAACATCTTGGTGCACCAACTGTCAGCCCAGCGTGAGTGTAAGTTCCTGTTAATGCAAGAAAAGGCTTCCAATAGATTCTTATACCTACGTTGGCTGTACCTCTCACCGACTGGAAGAAGTTCAGCAGAATGTGACAGAGGTTCTACCTTATGGCTGCTCTCGGCAGGAGCCAGGAGCTGGCTGGCCATGGCAGACAGCTTGCTCAACAGTGCTGGTTCTTTGGTACATTTTCTAAGTCTCAAGCTGTTCAACAAACTGTACCTCTTGGCCCTCTGCCTTGTCATATGCACACACCTCATGGCTGCTTCTGAACCCAGTGCTGGTGGTTTACATGGAAAGTACCAAGACTTGAGAAGTGTGTTTTCCTGTTTAGGGAGTATTTCTGGGGGAATCTCAAAAAAAGGTGAACTTCTATTTTTTTTGCTTTTTCTTACGACTTCTGGCTGATATGATGTGGGAACTTTTTTGCATGTCCTTCCAGGCTGTCTCTTTAATGGAAGAGGTTCTCTTTGCTTATTTGTAGTTCCAAAGGCACCAGGGATTCCATCATACCCTAAATTAAGGTTCAGGTTTTGCATTTCTGAATCCTGAGTCTTCAAAAACTGTGAACTAATAACATCTGTGGTAATCTTTGGCCTTTTGACTTCTTGTAAAGTGCTACATAGTTTATGTTCACTGCTTCCAACAGCAAAAATCTCCTCTGAAGTACCTTCAAACTTTGTATTTCTTGATGTCACCAACTCATGTGAAGAGCTGCATAGGAGTTCAGAACTGTGCAACATACTTGGTCGCAGGGTGATTTTTGCTTTCTCTTGATACTCTGACTTCAGTTCTTGTTGTGCATTGTCTGACAGATGTTCTTTCATCTTCTTACACTTTTTCTTTCGTTTCGGTACCTGACATTTCTCTATCTGATCAAGTCTCTCTGAACCTGAACCCTCATTTTCCTTGCAAACTGAATGAGTTGGTGTAGTGTCCTGGCCTTCTATAATCAAATTTACATTATCTTTGCTTTGTGCATTTAATTTGTAAGGCACACATACTTCATTGCAAACCACACAGTTTGGGAGCAATTCTTTGCAACTGTTTGATAGTATAATCATAGGTGGATAAAATGGGGGTGTTGTACTACACTGCAATTCTGGTGAAGTTTCTGCATCAGACGCAGCTTCAGCTTGACAATCACACAGAGTTTCTGAAAGGAGACTGGTACCTGCTAAGTTTGTCAGCTTTGTATCACTTTTTCTTTCTTTTGAAAGATTATTTAAATTAGATCTTGGGTTTTCTTCCAAAACCTTTCCATAATTCTCAGTACTGAGAGGGACTGTTTTGCTACCAGGCTTTTTTGAATCTTCTGAAAAGGCCCATGGACAATCTTCTCCATCAAGAAAAGAATCTGTGGGCAAGTTCTTTTTAGAGGCTACTTCTCTTCCTATCTTCTCCTCTACATATGTATTCTTAAACTTCTCTCCACAGTGAGTACTTTTTGGTTGGATCACATCCATGTCTTTTACACTTAGCATGCTATGCCCCTCACCTCTCAGACTTCCTTTGCTGTAGGCACAAACTCTTAAGCATTTTGCTCCATTCAGAAAGCTGGCTGTGGCTTCATTATCTGACAATGGGAGCTCAGTATTGTTGGCTTTTCTCTTACCAGACATTGTTACAGAAAGAGGCTTTGTCACTGAAGAATCTTTGCTAAAAGCTTCAGCTGCAGATGAATCACAGTTATCCATTTGTGTATTCCCAGATAACAGACACAGCTTTTCTTTCTTAGGCAAAGAGATTCCCAAGTTCAGAGATGATGGTGTTTCTGAATCCACCTGAGTCTCATAAGATTCTTGGATGTCAAACTTCCTGAAATGGGATGCAGCAATACCCTTTTGAGTGTCAGTTTCTTTGAGAGGCTCAAATGTTAACTGTGGGCAAGAGCTACTTAAGATAGATTTTATTCTCATACTTTTGTATGTTTCTGCCTTATATGACAGACTTTCAGGAATTGATGAAAGGGGCAAAAACTGGGTACTAACTGGATTTTCCTGATCCTCCACTGACGACTTCACCTTTGGCAAAGAATGCTGCATTTTGTTTCCTGCAAGCACTGGCTCTGCTTTCTCTTTTGCACATTTGATAAAGCAAGCATGCTGCGAACAGTGTGATTTGCTATCAGAAAAGCTTTGTTCAAGACTTCCAGTATCTTCTCTTTCACATCTGTTCTTGTGTTCTTTTTGTTTGATTGTCTTCTCTTCAGTTAGATCACTGATGAAGCTCATGTCTCCTGAATGGTGTTCATTCCTCTCATCATTTAAAGAGTCCAAATCCATCACAGTCTCTTTCAGAGTTCCTTGAAAACTGTCTTCTCTTGCATGCTTATGGGCTACTGGAGGCAGGTCGTCACCTGTTTTTAACATTATCTCTTTACTCTGACTAGAGTCAATTGATATTTTGGTTTCTTCCACAGAACTAGCCATAGTTTGTAAGCCAGGGTTTGGTGGTTTAGTTAAACTTTCTAAATGTTGCTTGCTGCCTGGAATCGGGCCATCAAACTCACTCTGACATGCAAGACACTGATCTTCCATTGGATGAAAGGTCTTCTCTGCTTGAATATTCCTGTTGCTGAGTATTGGACACGTCCCACAGACTGAAGCGCTGTACTTGGAGGGATTAGCTGTGAGCGATGACACTTCTTCCTCTTCACACACGCCCAGTTCTCTCTTCTTTGGGCCTAATGGAGAGTTGCAAAATCCAAAATTATGAACAAAGGGTTTTTTGTTCAAATATCTGAATAACAGCTGTTCACTAGTTTTATTTCTCTGATCGCCTTTAGGAGCCTTTGAAGAATCCACAGTTCTTATTCTATCAAATTCATCTGTCTGGAGAGCACACACGCCGATTTGTTCTTTTGCCTCATCTCTGCCACAAACAATTTCACTGCCATCTGTTACTTTACAAAGATCAAATTGTTTCAAAACCTCCATATTCTTATTTGGAACCTCATTTCTTACCAAGGTAGCAACAGACTTCTCTGCAGTGTAAGCTGAGCAAAATGTGTACTTTGCTGTGGAAATGTCATTTATCCCATACAGATCTACCCCTCTGTTGCCCCAGACATCTTCACAAGGAAGAGACTCACATGCCAAAGGGAAGTGCGCTTTTGGAAAGATGAGTGCCTTTGAAGCTGAAGCTTCTCCTTCCAAATTATCATTTTCCTCAATCTTCTTATTGACCTCAACATTAAGGGAATGACTGTTCAGGAGAACATCATCTCCAGGTGTACTCTCTGATAAAACACAGGAAGTACTGGCAGCTGTACACTGGTCTTTCATACTCTGATTATTACAATTCCACATGTCACTATGTTCATTTTCTAAACTAGTGACCACGCTCTGTGTATTTCCCACTGAAGACTTCATGTTCTTTTGGGAAATTTTGCTTGTCACATTAGGGTTCTCAGAAGTCCTGGAACTTACTGAAGACTTGAAATTGTCTTTATCAAGCGCAGTTTTAGTGACTTGCTCCCCTGTTGCTCCAGAAGCACCAATTAATTCTTTTCCAGATAGATTATCATGAGCCTTGTCCCTGCTTGAAAATTCATTAGCAGTACAAGGAAGACACTCATTATGATGAGGTTCTCTTGATTTTTGTGGAACAGGAGGTAGAGTTACATTTAGTGTATAAATCAAATTAGTTTCTTTGCCACTGGAGAAACTGTCATTACTATTAGCTTCTGTACCTTCAACTAAACTGCCAGGCAACTCTTCTGCTGTTGTATTACTCTCACATTCCTTTTCAAGTGGTTGTGCCTCAGATGAACCTTTTTCTAGCTTCGTACTAATATCCAGACAGCTGTGCCTACTGGGAGGAGAAATTTTACTGGAGGGATTATAAAAGCATATGTCTGTCTGTCCAATTTCATGGGAAGCAGTGTTGCTCCTTTCCATCAATATGCTATTTTCTTTCATATCATCCTTGCATAGATCACTGACAAAGAACTGCCACTGGTCCTTGTTCAACTTATCACCATCTGATGGGGCAATTTTAAGTCTTTCTTTTGAGAACTCCTCAGGAGATGAAGCAACAGAACTAAAAACTGAAGAATGACAATGCTCAGAATTAGCACCCTCTTGACCTTCAGGACAGCTACAAATGTCAACATTACGTCCTACAGCAATTTTTCTCCAGCCTTCAGCTGCCTCTTCAAATTCAGAGCTGTAGGATTTACCTACACTAGCAATTCCTTCCCTAGTATCAGATTTAGTGCTAGATAATTCTTTTCTCCTTACCACCGAGATCTGCTCTGTTGGTACAGATGTGGAGGTTCGATTTTCTCCAAACCCAGTTCCATGATCATAGTGAGTCTGAGTTTCCATGTTTTGGGGGGGTTCATTGCTAATTCCATGGGCTGCAGTACTACTGTTTTCTAGTGGTGTATTTCTGAAGTCCTGAGGACAGATGCTTTTCAGAACCAAACATAAAACTTTGGAATTTTTTGTGGAGAATGTTCTACAGCTTTCTAGTGATGGCAACCTATGAGGACCTGTGCAGAAGTCATGAGCATTGTTTTCTTCACCCTGCTGATAAGTCTGGCAATTAGCAAGTGATATACTGCACTCATTATCAGGATTTCCTCCGGATAACTCTTCTTCTCTAGTCTCCAAACCAGATGCAACGTTACCCCCTGTTCCCAATGGCACGCCAGTATGGGATTTCAACCCACTGTACTCATTTGTTTCTTGTGGATGCTCTGTGGCTGATTCAATGTCCATGACTTTCAAAGGCTCTGAAAAATCTAACAAGATGGTTTCTGAAACCCCAGCTGTGGCCATGACTTCTGGCCACAAAGGTGGAAGACCTTTACTCACTCTGTCATTCCTGTATCCTGCTTTACTAAATATCCTAGTCCCAACAGCCTTCATACCTTGTACTTCTTCAGTGAGCTTTGGCAGAGTTTCAGCTGTCATCTGAACACGTGCTTGGTTTTCTCCTGCGTAAGAAAAAATAAAGCAAATCAGAACCATATACCATATAATTTAGAAGGCCAACATAATACTTATTATAGAAGGCAAATAATACTTATTTGTAACACCGAAGCTCAACACAGCTGGGTACTTTATCTGCTCTATCCTAGAATACAACTGTGCAGTAAGTGGCCATAAGGCATTTTTGTAAGTCACCCGTAGGAAGACAATGTGTGTCTCATTCTGTCCAAGCAATTGTTATTAAGAAACTGTTTTGTAAAATCACAAAGAAAGTGCTAATTTAAATTACAGTAACTGTAGAATATCTTACAGGGAACATATCTGCTCAGACTTTTGCAGATCTTTTTCGTGGTTTCTACTAAGAACCAAGACCAGATGGCATTCTAAATACAAGCTTTGGTCACGAGAGCACATCGGGAGAAAGAAAATAATTACTAGATGTAGGCAAAGTGACCAAAGTATTGAAGCTAGAAAATTATGGATCATCGTTAAATTAAGATTTGTTTTGTTGTCCTCTTCCTTTGGATTCTGCATTTTAATTTTAATTTTTTAAAACATCAGAAAATTAAAGTATTTTTCTTTTTCACATCTTTGCTATTACTGCTGTCATATAACCCAGCTTTCAAACAAAAGGAAATGCAGTCAACTGCTGTTAACACCACTTTCTGCTTTGGGGTAAATAAGTATTTGAATTAAATAACTAAAACACATCTTGTACATAAAAGGGCTTCAGGAAAAGCGCACGTGCTGTCAGGAGAAGGCAGAGGATTAAGTTTCCATATTGCTTTAGCTATGCAGGTTAATAGTTTCTACTGTAAAGCAAAATAAATGAGCCATCCCACAATCACTCATCAACTCCAAATCAACAGAAAGTAACCTGGGAGAGCAGGAGGGATGTACAACTAAAATAAACACCTGTGTTCTTCAGAGATCCCACTCCTTCTGTGCAACAGGTTCCCAAAGACTTAAATTCATGCTGGTTTAAGTGAGGGTCCTCCTGCAACAAGACAGGAATATTAGTGGAGATTGATGGATTTCCTGAAATGTTCAGCATGTTTCAGGGACTCCACCTGCTCAGCTGGGTCAGTTCTGAGTGAGAAAACCACTGAGAAACCTCAGAACACATCAGCCCTTGCATGGAGGCAGCCTTGCATTACAAATGGTTCACATGGTTCCTTTCTGATCCTATCAGTCCCTATCATCTCCCCATTAAACTCTGATGTGTCCAAAAAAGATTTGTGTTTAGCAGCAATGAAGTTTTGTGACAGAAGCAGTTAAAATATAAGCACCTTAAAATACAAATTTGTCACAAATTCGAATCAGAAGAGTAATCCAGTCCCCAGACGTATCTCACATCCCCAGACCATTACTGTACACCTCTGTAAGATACATGCACTTTCTCTTCTTTGGTAGAACTTGCCTTATATCACTCCTTCGCTTGCCTCAAAACTACAAATCCAGGAGCAGATGACCTCAGTCTAATTGCAAAAAACCCCAAGCCAAACCAAACCAAGACCCCACAACCAAACTACCAGCACTGTGAAATACGTGAAAACTCATCTGGGAAAACTGAACGACTGGAAACTTTATTTAAGTTCATTTTCACAAACTTCTAAACCAATCAGATACCAAAATCCAGAGTTAAAACCCCAAAATATTTTAGTATTATGCAAAATACAGTTAAGTAGGTCTGTAAAACACAGACCCATGCACCACATCGAGGTATTCTTAATGTCCTTTCCAACCCTAACTATTCTACGATTCTATGATTTCCTGGCTGGTGTGAGTTCAGTCACAATACTTTTTTTCTCCCCTATGTTCTTTTAGGGAGTGTGAAAACTATTTACAAATGAAAGAAAATTGATTTTTAGAAAATATCAATTTTTACATAAAGAGTTTTGTGACTGTTCAGTTTTCAATAGAGTATTATTTGGTATATCTTTCAGCAGCTTTTACCTAGAAATAACATCTTTATCATCAGAGGTTGTTAAAGGGGAGGAGTTAAAGCCATGACCATGTGAGTCTCTTGTTTTGAAAGAGGAAAGTAACAGTGATTTCCTCTCTCAATACAAACAGTAATAGTAAAAATGAAGAATAATCTTTATTTTTAGAGTAAACCCTGAAATACTAAACTGAAGCCCCTGTAGCATTATAATACTATTACTAGTCTGAAATAACTATTATTTAGTGACTAGGGATGATGGTACCAGTAGAATATGCTGTACCCACAATACCTGGATACTGGGCAAGGAGCTTTCTAAGTTGTTTCTCTTTTTTTTCCAGTCAGTTTTGCTCTACGTTCTGCTACATCCGTGCCTGACACCATCCCAACAATATATAAGAAAGAGAAAAGCCTGATGGTACAAAATACTGCTTGTCTCCTGAAGTAGGGTCTAATTTTGCACTGGACACAGGACAATCCAAGTAACAACACCCATGCCAGAAGACCCAAATAAGAAACAGGAAACCACACGGACAAAGTCATCTGCCCAGTCACTTTAACCCTACATTCAAAGCATCATACAGGGATGAATTTTGCCATTTGCTTACTTGTTTTGCCAAGCTTCGCCCAGCAGCTCGAGTGTGGCATTCAGTATGATACTCCTCAGCATCTTGTGCCTCTTCACCACCTCTCTGGTATCCCTCACTAGAGAAGTCTAGCCCCCTGAAGTTCCTTTTTTTGCTTTTTTCATCCTCTTCAAGGTCTCCAGACTTCACTAATTCTTCACCAAGGGATTCTGCTGGCCCATGAGAAATCACCTGGAGCACATCACGCAAATCCTGGCTGAAGTTCTCTACTCTTGGTGTCGCGCGATGCTCCACTGACAGACCGCTGCTGTGTGCCAGCACAGGCACTGACACACCAGACTTTGCACTTAACCCAACCTTAGGCTCTGACACAGCCATAAGTTCCGTGGAGATGCTCATGGGCAGCCCAGGGTACCCCTCCTCTATTCCAGCAGACCCCAAAGAATCAAGGAGAGATTCCACCCCAGATGAAAGCATCAGGGCAGCTGAGAATCGGTTGTCCCGAGCTTTTCACAGTTTACCCTAAAAATAAAAGCAATATTAAGTCAACACACGTAGGAGTAATCTCTGGGTTATAAGAGGTGCAGCTTCATTCATGGAGATTCCAACATGTATGTTTAAGAAAGGTACTTGCAAATAATATTTTAAGAAAGGAGCTGAGAAATGGTTGAGTTTCTAAGCAAACGCTCATTAACAGAGGAAGAGAGTGTGAACAGAGAGACATCCCCAAGCCTTGTTTTCATATTCAAACATCTTCCTGCAGATATAAATTCATCTTCTGGAAAACCTGAAAACAGACTATCAAGCACATCACTAGGGCTCATATTAGACATCCTACTCTTCAGCTAAAACCAAAGCATCATTTGTTTTCCTGTGATTTTAAGTTTCTAATCTTCGGGAGAGGGTGGAAGAAAACAACTTTTCTTCATGTTTTCTGCCTCGAAGGAACACTTTAAGACATAATCCATCACACACTGTGCCTCGTTAACTTATCTCACAGAAGCACCTCACACTTCTGTCGGATGTCGTATCCGGCACATCCGGCACGTATGTCAGATGTACCGTACCAGGTCTGTTTGCACATCGCTGGTACCAGCGTCGGGACCCTCTTCAGCCCAAACGACACCCCCCGATGCCCGGCAACAGCGAGAGCGCACACATCACAACGCGGAGCGTTCCAATCTCGCAGCCGGCAGCGGAACGAAGCCCCGGTCTCCCCGCTCCTGAAGGCACCTGCACCGACAGGAGCGGGCGAAGCCCGATATTGACAGAAGCATCAGTTACTCAGTTTACAAAAACACGGGTTTGAGCTCTGTTCTCCCTGCTCCCGAACCGAACCAGCCCCTAAGTAACAAGCT